AAAATTATTTTTATATCACTGTTTAAGGAAAAATTTTCTAAAACCTTCGCTTTAGTCAACTGAATACTCGCAATAGGTCACTCCACCGGATTCTTTCTTCTGAGGCCATGTCAACCAAACTGCGAGAATTGGTGTCATGTTTCCGAGAAAGCTCCCTTGTAATTGCGAATTAAACATTGTAAGAACAAACCAGAAGAAATAACAAACATCTTATCCGCATAATTTCTACCGTTGTATCATCTGATAATATTTGTACATTGAAACTGATGGCTCTAAAACCCGAAACTCCTCTTTTGCAGGAGTTTGAAAAGAACTGCAGTTGCCCTTTCTGCCTCCATTGTTCAGTATAATGTTGCGTGACACAGTGATGGCCTTTTCTCCCATGTTTATGTACCTAATTTATGGTTCGGGATATTCACGAACAACAGCCTCGGGTAAAGATGGTGATGATCCAACGCTGATTTTGCTAGGCGCTGGCGTGTTTCTTCGAGATTGACGTTTTGTAGGGACTAACACAGACTCATTCTCCAGCTTGCTAATGAATTCCTCATCATCCTCATCTTCATCGTCTTTAAAGATAGGATGAATGTAAGCATTCTGAAGATAGGCTTTCAAGTTAAACTGTGGCTCCCTTGCATGGTCCAGAGTATCCTTCATCATTGCTTCCTAAAATCCACAACATAAAAGAATGTCAACCAATACACAACCTGAAGCGTGGTAAAAAGCTCCATCTGCAATACGTAAAACACCAAACCCACCTGTAATGGATATCTAACGAAGGCAGGTTCGTAGCGTGCTTTGCAGAAACTATGGAACCATAAGGTGAGTACAGGAAGAGCAATGAGAAATGGTGTTGACTGAGCAGCACCCTTTGTTGCCAGTAATCCCATTAGACAGATTTGTGAGATGACCAATGCTGCGATCACACGCCCATGGACATCAGGCCAGAAAGCTGCGGCACTCTCATACTCTTGATTGTAGACATTTATGATCTAATTTTTTAGATTTAAACAAGAAAATTATGTAAAACAAGCAACTGAAGGAGACAAAAAGAAAAGCAGAAAAATGTACTTGTATGATTTATTCTTTTTACCTGATGACGAAAAACAACATAAGCAAACCCAAAGAAAATTATTATGAAAGGAATCAGCATAGGAGTCACAGCAGCATAGACAAGACCAAGTAGAAAATAGAGCTGTATTTGCGGCTCTCCAGTGTTGAAACCAATGCTTCCTGGGTCCATCGCCTCCTCCCTATCCTTTTCAGTTTTCACCAAGAAAAAGTTCTTCAAGTGATAAATTATCAGTGGTTTCAACATTAAAATCTCTGCAGCAATTCCAGCCCATCCATCAACCATTATGTAAGTAATGAAGAAAGTTGCTCTCATTGGTATGGCTACACCAATTGTTTTAGGATAACTGCAAAGAAGGCAAAAGAGTTAAAAAAAAAAAAAAAAAAATCATAGCAGTTCAACAAAATCTGACTTCAGACAAAGATTGGCAAAGCAAGAAATATCCGAGAATAATTATAGCCATTGCAATGCAGAAAGAATGCATACTCATTGGCTGACTGCTTAAGAAATGTCTTCAGCTGGTCAAGTGCAGTGCCTGCAATAATGCTTCCAAGGAATACATTCACAAGATTGAAAAGATAGTATCTAGTTGCTACCCGCCTTTCTAAGGATGACATAGAATTAAAGCCTTCAAACTTGGACATAATCATCAATATTGTTGGAAGGAAGATGAGAAAGAGCTTCAGCACAATCCCAGGTAAAAAACCTTGGATGAATGCCTTGATGAAATCTCTGCAGAGAGAAGAAAGGTAAGTTGCAGTTGTATTAATGACACCTGAATAGTAACTTCAGTTTTGAGAATGGGAAGGCACTCACCTGTCAATTATGGGCTTCAGGAAAGGAGCTGCTTTCTCAATTCCCTCAATGCTTGCAAGAGATTGTACAAATGTAATTGGGATCATGAAAAAGAAGGTTAGGAAAAAGAAGGCAACAGCCATAATCAACCTCCTAATGGTTAGCTGGACATAAGGAATTGCCAGGTTTTCCCAATATACATCACGAGGTTCTGGTGCCCACTCCGTCAACCATAAAGTTGGGTTTCTTGATTGTTGGGTCTGTGCACAAACAGCTGCACCCCATCGGGTTTTAAAGGAAACAAAGGCTGCTGGCATGATAGATTTAGGATCTTTCCGAACCCTTGCTTTCTCATCAGCTATCTGAAAAACATGGAAATGTAAGATGTTCATGTTTATTAAGTGCTGTTCAGGAAAACAACATTCTATGCCATTTAACATGGTAGTGTAATTAAAAAAGGCATTACACATGGACATGCTACTTAATCTATGGAGTTAATTGTGACCTAACATTTGCACTGACAACTTCATACAACTTAGAACTGAAAAGTACAAGTTGAACAAAAACACTTACTTCTTTGGCTAGCTTCTCGATTTTGGATGTGTAATGATCAATTGCATCCACTCTTTCACCCCAACACCCAAGAAAACCAATCTAGTAGTTTGAAAGAAATCATCAAAAAAAAAAACAAGAAATAGAATAGTTGAAAATGGGAAACATGCCAACTTTTAAAGACAAGTTGGGCTAATTAAATACCTTTATCATTGGACTCCTTGAGCTATTTCTGGAGTATTTTAGTTGGTAATAGTCAAGCCAATTCTGCATCCTTCTCATCTTCTTGACCAACTTGGCCAGTTTGTTTGCATTGTAAACCACCTACATGAAGATAAAACCACATCACAAACTGAATTCTGCAACGTACATCAAATTTCATGAATCATAAAAACGGAATGGTCAAATAATTGAAATGAAAATATCATTAAGAGATTAATTGGCTTGTCAAATATATAGAAGGCAAATGTATCATGTACTAATCACTGGATGCAGTCAATTCTCACAAAAGTGTGTTTTCTCTCCTATTTTTCACATGGAGTCTGATTGATTCCTCTTCCTCTCCCTGAGGGTTGAAACTGGTCTTTACTCAAAATCAGGCAGAACAAACAAAAAATAGAATTCAATTGATAGGATATGTTTTATAAATCTTCTTTTAACAACTTAAAATTTTGAGTTTGAATTACTGGTATTTTAAAAGTTCATAGGATTTTAACATAAGCAATCCCTGTAGAGGGTATTTACTGCAACATGATTAGTACTGTTAAGTTTGATTATGTAACTTGATCAAGTTAAATATTCTAGGAATCCATTGAAGTTAAGTACTATTTTCCTGGAGTCAAAGTTTGATTCCTTACTTATCATTAATTATTTATTCCTTGATCAAGTTAAATATTCTAGGAATCTATTGAAGTTAAGAATTATTTTCCTGAAGTCCAAGTTTGATTCCTTACTTATCATTAATTATTTATTCCTCTTATTCAGGCCCTAAACCTAACCTACTAGCCTATTAGCAATAGTCTAAGAGTCCTACAAGTATTCATGGGCACATTCTCTCCTTTTAGGGGTTGGTTATTGAGGCATGAATGCCTAGATTGATCTTGCAACTTCTCTCAAGGCATCAACCTTGTGTCCACTGTGCTATTAGAATCATGATTCATATATTAAGTTGTAATTTTACATATTTACATTTAGCTTGTAAGTAACCTTCTTCCAAAAAATAATGATGAGAATTCCACCCATCAGAATAAAATCACAAACCATAGGACAGTTCACGCAGGAATAACATATAAATTCAAATAAAAAAGACAAACCAACCTGATGTGTAAGATAGTTATCTCGATGATTGACCAGGAAAAAATGCTCCACTGACTCACTAACAGATTCATCTGGATCTGGTGGTACATTTCGAACAAGAACCTAAAGACAGATTCCGTTTTAAAAGCATGATCAGTAGCATTCAGTAAAAATTGCTCCACTAAGGTAAATCAAGTGGTATTTCTAATTAAAGAGCTTACAATATGCTAGAATATCTCAGAGCATTATATTTTCCAATTACTTACAAGTGCAGACCATTAAGTTCAACAAGTTAAAATTTTAACAGAACCAAGTTAATATAATATGAAAGAGAGGTCCATGGATCCAAAAGTAGTAATAATGGAAGAGCCTACTCACAGTAAATTGATCTGGTCTGCGTTTCTCTGATGAAATAAAATGCAATCGCATAAAAGCAACTGTCTCATACTCTTTTAGTAACACATAGCAGGTCCAGAAAGTGAAAGCATAAGCTAGCACAATATGAGTCCAAAACCTGCAACTCAGGGTGAGCATCATTTCACCACAACAGTAAAAGTAAAACAAGAACCCAGTTACTAAAAATAACACCAAGGAAAATGAAGATAACACAAGACACATCACACATGCATACTCCATGTGCTCATGCCTCCAATCAATGTAGAACTAAGAACTAAACAAGAAATCAGATTCCAAATAAGCTGCATCCAAAGTAACAATACAGTACATTAACATTTTTATGACCACAGGGAAGAAAGAGCTTCACAATGACGAAGCCTAAATTGTTGTTTGAAAAACAGCACTACAAACTAAGAAGTATTGTATATATGTCAATCTTCTTCAGAAAACTTAATGTGACTAACATAGAAAGAATGTTACGTACAAGATATTGATGAGCTACTAAATTGCCAGGTTAAGGAACAAATGTTAGAAATGAGGGTCTTATACCTGTTTGATCCAAGAGGAACATTTGAAATTGACAGCTTATCAATGTCGCTAGAGGTAACATTTGTTAGCTTGACATTGTCTAATGTGCTATTTGTCCAATTAACAGGTACCAGGATTGACCACGCAAGGAAAGTAATAGGGACAAAAATCTTTAGTCTGTGTACAAAATAATATATAGATATCAGCAAAGAATAAAGAATAATAAGCCAAATTTTCTGTACAGAAAAATCAACAAATTGTCAGAATCATAAGACTAAAAGAAAAATCAAAAGTAAAATATGTATCAGACCAATTGCATCTCTTTGGAGTGGACAGAAACAAAAAGTTGCAGTCAATACAAAGGAGACAGTGTTATTTACAAAAGGATGTTCATTCAATGCACAAGCAACTAAGCAGTGAATATAAGGAATTGGTCAGATGATGAGCAAACAACATATAGATACTGCCTGCAACGTACCCCAACAAGTAAATGCGCAAATAAACTGCCGAATCCAACCCTGCGTGATCAATAAGCTCAAGTTCTGGCATTTTCAGAGATTCTGGTATCCAATTCAAGAATCTCAAGTATGACCTATAATCCAAGTTAACAAATTTGCGCACAAAAGCTCCTGCCTGCGTAGGACTGCTCCTTAAACCTTTGAGATACCATTTTGAGAAATACACCCTGTCATTGAAAGGCTGAAGCCTTAAAATAGCAAATGCCAGAAGGAATATGAAGGCAGTGAGAAGATTGATGGCCGCTGAAACCCCTATATCCCCAAGGGTCGCCATCTATAACCCTGCATAAACAAGACAACTTCCATATTAGCAAATTTAAACATCCCCAACCCAATTTCCAGACTTGGAAGAAAACAACAGCAAATTCAATCAAAATCAACATAAAGCATCAAAATTTCCAACTTCTAACACTAGGCAAACTCAATTAACAACTTCCCAAAGAGAGTATCAAATCAAAGCGGCAAAAAACATGAATCAAGAAGAGGTACATGTATCAAGTTCGTACCCTTTTTGTGATTCCACCAAATGAACAGGAAACTCTAATTTACCAGCCAAAAACCAAACAAAGAACCGGTTTTTAGCAGAGATGAAAAAGGTAGAAAAGTTCCTTTGCAGATCAGAAGATAAACTAGCAAGGACTCGAATCCCTTCAAAACTCAAACAAAGCAATCTCAAGCAGACCCAGAAAACATTCCTCCCCTCCCAGTTCAGGGAAAGTGAAACCCACGCAACCACAGACACCCTTTCCCCACCCAGATAAGCAAACCAACTAAAGCCAGAAACAATAACAGATGGGCCACGCAAACAGCAGAATTCAATAATTCCCTAACAAAAATTTGGAATTTATCTCTTCAGAGATATGGTGGGTTGAAGATAAAGAAAAAAGTATGGAGTGTTACTTGATTTTAAGTGGCAGTGCGGCTTGATGTTAACGCTTCTCCACCGCGGCGGTGGGGGCTTTTGTGTTGTTTTTCATTTTTATCTATTTTTTTTTTATTTATAAGCAAAAACCCTTCTTAAACCCCCAAACTTACCCCAAAATATCATTTAAATCCCTAAACTAAAACTAAAGCAGATAAACCCTTTAATTTCACTAACAATACAAATAAACCCTTTTTATTTATGAGTATTCATGCTTTCAAGGTGATATTAAACATGAAATGCCATTTTGTCCGTTTGTGAGAAGAACTTATTTGCATTATTTGTGGAGTTAGAGAGTTTACTTATTTTATTTTTAGTTTAGGAGCTTAAATATTATTTTGGGGTAAGTTTGGGAGCTTATGAGGGTTTTTGCCTTACTAATAATGTCGTTTTCCTGGAAGAACGGTTTTCCTCAACGTGGGCCCATTATATGTACCTGTCGGCAAG